CTGCAACCATAATATAGATGCAGTATGGCTGTACCACGCTGTTGCTATATTATGTTTGTACTATATTGTTTATAATATATTTGTTTTTAATATAAAACAACAGTCCAAGTAATGAACAGGTGTTTGTTATAATAATAACTCAATACGCTCGTTTTATGGGTATTGCTGGTTGGAATAGGCATATGTACTGAAAATAAATCCACGGTCAGTGAAAGCACACAACACTACACAGCCGAAGAACCTGAGTTCGAACCTCGTCCAGAAATAGATTGACGCCGAAATACATAACTTACACTGTTTACAAGATAATCATATAGCAATAGGTGTAAACTTCTCTACCGAATTCTTATTCTTCTATACTGAATTTAATTTACTCCTTTCGTTGCATTTACTCTTACATTTTACCTTAAAGTAAAAAATAGAACTCTTCACCCTTTCACGTACCTATTCCTTCTTTTAGATTGCATATTGCATCTAGCTAATTGTATTTTGATTCTTAATTGAGGATAGATGTTTTTGTTTAATGAACTCAAGACACACAGGTGGTTTATGTGTTAATACATTCAATGAAAAAAGTATCGAGAATTTATGATTTATTTATGGCTACAAATTCTATTTTTGTTTTTTTTTTGTCGTTGTTAAATTGGCACAACTGTTTTCCATTTTGGGGCGGAGTTTGAGATATATCTGTTAATTAAATCAAATACAGTGCTGTTTTTAGTTATATATAAATCTAGTGTGTATTGCGAATTTGACAATGGACAAAAATATCGAATATAATAGTCTTAATTTTTGCATTTCCGATGGAATTTCGTGTTCGGAGTCACTGAAAATATTACAGAAGACATACGGTAAATCGACTTTTGTAAAAACACGTGCTTATGAGTGGCACAAAGCTTTTAAAACCGATCGTGATGTGGTGGAAAATTTGCCTCGCTCCGGTAGGCCATCAACGTTTGCAACTGAAGTTAACGTCGTAAAAGTGAAGGAAATAGTGACTGAAAATCCTCATTCATGTTTGAAAGAGATAGCCGCTGAACTTTCTGTGTCTCACGAGTCGATCCGCACCATTATAGATATTCACTTGGCTATGAAACATGTTGCCGCTTGGTTAGTCCCACAGAAATCGTAATAATACGATTTCTGTGGTTAGTCTCAAAAGACCTGAATTTTCTCCAAAAGCTCAATCGCATAAGAGTAGCATGTTCTAGCATGTCCTCAACATGCTAGAACGAGTCGATTCCGACCCAATATTCATGAAACGCATTGTTACTGGTGACGAAACGTGGGTTTACAGGTTTGGGATGCAAACTAGTGAACAAACTTTGGATTGGCGTCTTCCAACAGAAACAAAACCGAAAAAATCATGCCAAAGTCAATCAAAAGTCAGAGTCATTTATTTTACATTATAAAAGCCCAACCAGATGGAAACACTCGGCAGGGGAGACCAAACGGCCAAGGGTTAGGGGGAAAGGGAAAGAAACCGGCGGACGATGCTGGCAGTATCAAGGAGCACCGCCTTCTGCATTTGAGCCCGGAGCGGTCCGTCATGGAGTCCCAGTCGCCTGAGATGACCAGAGAGGCTAACTGGGATTAGCCCATTCGCAGAGACGACTACAGGAATAATTTCGGCCGGCAGACCACCCCACATGTCGGTCACCTCGTAAGCCAGGTCCAGATATTTTGATTGCTTATCTGTTTCGGCTCTCACGAGGTTCTCGTCATACGGGATGGTAATATCGACCAAAAATATCCTTGGAACTGCTAAATTCACAAGTGATGTTTAGCAGTTCCATAACATGGGAGCGACTGGAGGCGAATAACTTGAGGTCATCCATATAGAAAAGGTGGGTCACTTTTGTCCCTCCTTTCCGTAGCTGAAATCCCCTCCCGGAGCCCTCCAGTAAGGTACTGAGAGGTTTAAGAGAGAGGCAGAACCAGATTGGACTCAGACAATCGCCCTGGAAGATACCCCTTCTTATCCTTATGTGGTTCTCCGCAGCCGTCATCCGCTCGCCCAGATGACAAAGGATCGTACTCCACTGCCCCATACACTGCTCGAGGAAGTCTCTAACTGTACAGTTAATCTTGTGCAGCTCGAGGACCCTCTTTAGCCATGTTCATCCAGGCGGCAGAGAAGTTCCGACGGTTGCGTTTCACCACTTTGCCTATGACCGTGTCAATGAGGAGTGGTTCCTTAGTTCCACGACCACCGCTCCGACATCCATTTTGAACGCGTGACATCACCTGGTTTAGCTCCAGGTGACGAGTGATTCTCGCGCTCAAAATGGATGTCAGTGTCTTATATATGGTGGGTAGACACACATTATTATTAATATTATAGTGGGGTATCTTATAGTTTTCTCATCTGGCTGGGTGCTATAAATATATAATTATAAATGAAAATGAAAAGATAAATATACATAAATATCAATAACATAAAATAAATATAAAAGTACATAAATAAATAAAAGCCCAACCAGATGGAGGTCCTCGGCAGGGGAGACCAAACGGCCGAGGGTTAGGGGGAAAGGGAAAGAAACCGGCGGACGATGCGGGCGGTATCGAGGAGCACCGCCTTCTGCATTTGAACCTGGAGCGGTCCGCCACGTAGTCCCAGCCGCCTCAGATGACCCGAGAGGCTGACTGGGATTAGCCCGTTTGCAGAGACGACTACAGGAATAATTTCGGTCGGCAGACCACCCCACATGTCGGTCACCTCGTGAGCCAGGTCCAGATATTTTGTTTGCTTGTCTGTTTCGGCTTTCACGAGGTTCTCGTCATACGGAATGGTAATGTCGACCAAAAATATCCTTGACTGTGCCCGGTCCATCAGCACAATATCAGGCTTATTCGCAAGAATAGTCCTGTCTGTGATGATGGCCCGGTCCCAATAGAGCCTGGCGCGATCATTTTCGAGCACGGCTTCCGGCAAGTACTTGTAATACGGCAATTTCCGATCCACGAGACCGTATTTCAGAGCGAGCTCCTGGTGTAGAATTCTGGCTACTAGGTTGTGCCTGTGCATATACTCAGAGTTAGAAAGCGCCGAACAACCGGAGATGACATGCCTAAGTGACTCACCGGGATGGCGACAAGCTCGACAGATGTCGACGGTGCCATCCTTTAGGATGTATCTCCGATAGTTGTTGGTCTTAATAACCTGATCCTGTATTGCACAGACAAAACCCTCGGTTTCCCCGAAGAGATCACCAAAGCGTAGCTAGTGGAGGGAGGCTACTGTGTCTACGAAAGGCTCATGTAGAGCCCTGTAGAACCTCCCGTGGAGCTCCTTCTCCTTCCATACGGTCTCCCGGTCGGAAATGCTCTGCACTGCCGGGTCTTGCCATTGCTCGTTGGCTAAGGATAGAGGAGTAAGTCCTTTATCACAAGAAATGACGTCCTTATAGAATGGATCATCCGATCTCGTCAGGAAGTAATCACGGAGGCTGCACACTTCGCGATTATGCATGGTGAGCGCGCTCAAGAAGCCACGACCACCATGCTTCCGCGACAAGTACAGCCTCATTACCGACGATCTCGGATGATGCATCCTATGGGACGTCATGGTAGTGCGGACTTTTCTATCCAGGGCGTTAAGTTCAGTCTGAGTCCACCTGAGTATGCCAAAGGTATACATGAGGATAGGCATGACCCAGCCGTTATATGCGTGTGCCTTATTCACACCGGACAAAAGGCTGTTAAGCACTTTGGTCAAGCGTGCATAAAACACGTCGCAAACTGACTGTTTTATACCAGTCTCATCGATACCGATGTTTTGTGACATACCCAGGTATCGGTATGTTTCAGCCTCGGAAAGGGACCTTAAGTTGACGGGCATAGATAAGTCTACGCCCTCAGAGATAGCAACCCTTCCCCTTTCAACATGGAGGACCGCACACTTATCCGTCCCAAGCTCCATTCCAATGGAATTGCTAAATTCACAAGTGATGTTTAGCAATTCCATAAGATGGGAGCGACTGGAGGCGAATAACTTGAGGTCATCCATATAGAAAGGGTGGGTCACTTTTGTCCCTCCTTTCCGTAGCTGAAATCCCCTCCCGGAGCCCTCCAGTAAGGTACTGAGAGGGTTCAGAGAGAGAGGCAGAACCAGATTGGACTCAATCACCCTGGAAGATACCCCTTCTTATCCTTATGTGGTTCTCCGCAGCCATCATCCACTCACCCAGATGACAAAGGATCGTACTCCACTGCCCCATACACTGCTAGAGGAAGTCTCTAATTGTACAGTCTATCTTGTACAGCTCGAGGACTCTCTTTAGCCATGTATGGGGCACCGAGTCGAATGCCTTTCTGTAGTCTATCCAGGCGGCGGAGAAGTTCCGACGGTTGCGTTTCACCACTTTGCCAATGACCGCGTCAATGAGGAGTGGTTCCTTGGTTCCACGACCACCGCCCCGACATCCATTTTGAGCGCGCGACATCACCTGATTTGAGTCCAGGTGACAAGTGATTCTCGCGCTCAAAATGGATGTTAGTGTCTTGTATATGGTCGGTAGACACGTGATGGGGCGGTATTTGCTCGGGACTGTGGTACCCTGGTCTTTAGGAACCAAATGAGTGATCCCAGTAGTGAAGAGGCTTGGGAGCGACTTCTGGTTGAGAGCCTCTTGAAATTGTCGGGCAAGCACAGAGTGACACACCATGAACCCCTTCAGCCAGTAGTGATGCAGCCCGTCAAGCCCCGGACTTTTCCAGTTCGGGGCATTACGGACCGCCTCAGCTACGTCATCCGGCGTTATGATGACGGGGTCCATGGGCGTAATACCCGCACACTGACTCGCCACAACTTCCGTCCAAGGGCCCTCGCTGTGGTTTACGGGCTCTGACCACAGGCCGCGCCAGAATGCTACAGTGTCGGCCTGATTCGGTGCTGGACCCGTTCCGCTTACCATTAGTCGCTCCAATGATTCATAGAGCCTCTTCTGATCACTCTGGAAGAGACGATTCTGGTTGAACCGTGTCGAACTCTCGGTATATCACCGAATCCGCTTTCCCCAAGCACCGATTCTCTGCTTCAGATCATCTATGCGCTCCGTCAGTTTTTGCGTTATATCCGGCTGGGACAAACTGACATTTGTCCCCGCAAACGCCATCCTGACGGTGCGCACAATTCTTGGCCTGTTGTTGCCTGATCTGAAGCATATCAGTCTGCCGATGAGAGCTCTAGCCTTTGCGATACGTTCCTCAATTCTTCTTCTCCATGCTGGGATAGCGCTACTATGGCCAGTAGCGCGTCCAGCCGTGGAAACCTTGGCGCCTATGATACGGCAGACTGCCAGCGCGGCGCCAAAAAGAATTGAGTCCGTCTCGCAAAGGTCCCGGCTGGCTTCCAAATAGGTCACCAGCATTGGGTTCAGAGCCCTCACGACAGCCCGATTCCGCTTGCTTAGGGCTATGCGGGTAAGTCGCGGTCGATTTTCGAGAGGCGTACTGCGCGTTTCCACAATCGCCTCTTCCAATGTACTCCTCATATGCTCTAATTCCAGTTCCTGGGCGACTGTTCCATCATCGTTTGAATCAACCACAACTGGGGTATTCACGGCGGCATCCACGTTTGCGGGTTGCTCTACCATTTGTGGCGCCGCATCCTCAGCCGTAGCATTCTCATCCGACGAGGGAACAGCCTCACGTCGTAGCCGTTCGAGTTCGGCGACATCAAATATATTTGAGCGCAAGATATACCGAACTCGGTCTGCCAGGTTTTGCTCCGTGACGGTTAAAGATGGCTCCAGCTCAGCAAAAAGATGATGCATCCTAGCCCGATACGCCAAACATCCAGTTTCTCCCCCTTTCGCCCTAAAATACGCCCGCAATGCGTTGCTGTTCATCTGGGTTGTCCAACGCATGCGGCGTACTCCACCAGAGGCGGGTGCCGATTGCTGGGCCCGCGAAGACCTTGCCGACATCAAGCCAGCTGGTGGGGATGATGGATGCGAGGGGCTGCTGGGTGGTCGTGCAGCACCTCGCGCTCGGCTGGCGGTTCGCATGCTGCCGCGTCCAGCGCCAGCTCCAGACGCGCCCTGGCGACCTCCATGCAGCGGCCCTTTGCGCGTTCTATTTAATTCCATCATCCATTTTAGGGCGTCATTTAGCGGGAGACGCCCAGACCCGTCGCCGTTTCATGTTGAGGCCATGTGCACAAGCGGGCCTTTGCACCTTCAATTTTTGCCGAGGCACGGCACTAACACCTCTTGGCAAGGTGCTGACTGACTGCGCTGACGTAGCGGTTTTGTCACATAACCGTTACGTCAGCGGGCGATGGGGTCGTCACTTCCCTACGCCATACGCCAATTATTATTATTATTATTATTATTATTTACGTATTCTTTTTTTCTTTCTCAAGATTTTGTAAAATCTTGGTTTTTAAGAGATGTTCACGGGCCTAAGCCAAGTGCGCATCCATTTGGGAATCAAAATCCGAGATGTCTTCTTGTAAAAATTTTCGGACTATACGGCACGTGTTGAGGATGGCTGCTTTTTGCATGGTAATATAACTATTTTCAGGAAGATCTAATCGTTTAAGGGAGAGAGACTAACACATCGGGATCACACCAGTACTGGAGAGAACCAGCGGTACAATATATACTTTGTTCATTTTCCAGATTCTAGTTACTTCTTCTTTTAATTCTGTGTATTTATGATTTTTTTTCAGTAATGGTTTTTGTATATTATGGGTATTTGGGATCGCTATATCAATTAGGTATACTGTTTTATTTAATTTATCAATTAAAGTTATATCCGGTCTATTGTAATGAATTGTTTTATCGGTAAGAATAGCTCTATCAAAGTACATTCTGTGACTGTCGCTCTCCAGAACAGGTTTGGGGGTATACTGATAGTACAGCAGTAGTTTTTGGTTCGGGATTAAATTGTATTTATTTACAAGTTTTTGATGAACGTAATTAGCAACCTGGTTATGACGGTGGGTGTAATCAGTTTGTACTAGGCTGGGACAAGCACCGGTAATATGTTGTATAGTTTCGGGTTGGCGGTGGCATTTTCTACAACTATCGTTCTGCATATTTGGGTCTTTTAATATATATTTTTTATAGTTTCTTGTATTGATTACTTGATCTTGAATGGCAATAAGAAAACCTTCGGTTTCGGGGAAAAGAGAACCTATTTTTAACCATTTATTTGAAGCCATCAAGTCTATGTGAGGTTGTTCTAAATCGTGTGCATGTCTACCATGTAATTCTTTGCTACGCCACTTTGACAGCTTTCCTTTTTCATGATCAATTACTGTAGTAGATCTATTACCTTGATTACTTAGATTTAGAGGGGTATAATTGTTATCGGATTCAATGACTGCTTGATGTAACGGACTATTAGCTGATTTTTCATAAAAGAAAGATTGCAAGTTTTTGACTTGCCCTTCCCATAACCTTTTAAGATCGATCAGACTCCTACCTCCTATAGCTCTCTTTATCGTAAGTCGTTCAATTACCGATTTAGGATGCAAATATTTGTGTTTAGTTATGGTAGTCCTAGTTTTGATTTCAAGATTTCGTATATCTGTAGTTGACCATTTAATTAGTCCGAAAGAATAGGTAAGTATAGGGATGGCAAAAGTGTAAATAGCTTTGAACAAATTTCTAGAATTAAGTTGCTTTTTACAAACTAGATTCAACCTACGCAAATTTTCATTACTAAGGTCCTTTTTAATAGCAGTATACATGGTCTATACATCTTCCTTCACGCAAGCCTAGATATTTATATGTATCATTTTCGTCCGTCAATTTAAACATGTCGTATTGACTTTCTGTACTATTATTGACTCTACCTTTATGAAGTTTAAGATTTTTACATTTATTTAAACCAAAGTTCATGTTTATATATTTACTAAACTCAGCTGTAATTTTTATGAGGGCGTTCATTTCTTTTTCTGATTTGGCAAAAAGTTTTATATCGTCCATATACATTAAATGATTAATATAGGTGTCTTTAGTTAATTTATATCCATGATTGTTTTTGTTGAGTAAAGAAGATAAAGGGTTAAGAGCCAGACAAAACCACAGTGGACTCAATGAATCTGCCTGGAAAATGCCATTAGCGATTGGTATATCGTCTGTGACTATGGTCTTACTGCCGTCATTAAGGTGTAATTTAGTTTTCCAAGTACCCATAACTCTCTCCAGGAATGAAATAATGTCCGGGTTGATTTTATAAATATGCAAAACTCGTATCAGCCAAGAGTGAGGTACACTGTCGAGTGCTTTCTTATAATCAATATATGTTAGGTTAAGATTACGGTTGTGAGAGGTAGCGTGTTTAATTACTATCGAGTCGATAATGAGTTGTTCTTTGCATCCTCTGTGATTCTGTCTGCATCCTTTTTGTTCCTCCGCTAATACTTTATTATTTGTTAAATGCGTATTTATTTTTAGTGTTATACAAGGATTATTAGTTTGTATATAGTTGGGAGACACGTAATCGGTCGGTACTGTGAGGGATCTGCTGTTTTATCACTTTTGGGAATCATGAAAGTAGTACCTACGGTTACAAATGATGGGATCTCTGATGCGCCTTTTAATATATCTGTAATAATTTTCGCTAAAATATCGTGGAGGGCTGAGAATTTTTTATACCAAAAGTTGTGAACATTATCGGGTCCAGTAGCTTTCCAGTTTTTCATTTTTTTGGTTACATGTTCAATCTCTAATTTAGTAACTTCTGTGAATTCCATCAATTCAATAGCTTATTAATTATTATTATTATTATTAGAAGATGCTGCTGTTCATCTCTTGGTTTGTTTTCCTTTATCGGCTCTTACGATACTGTATGGTTTACAAACGATATCTTCTACATTTTGCAATAAATCTTTTTCAGTTCTTGTAGTGAAGCTTTGGAATTCCTTACCATCAACTGTAAAACGTGCTCAAACAATAGACTCCTTTAAAAACCAAGTTAAAAATTATCATTATCTTTCCTTCTAAATCATCCCTCCTCTTTTTATCTATATCTAATATTTTAAAACCACCCCTCATTTTTTTCCCCCTTTTCCTTTTTTAAAAGTATTGTATGGGGAAGTCAATATTCTTACAGCGCCATTACACGAATGAAGCAATTTACAAGCAAATCCACTTTATAAGTATTAATTTGTATAATGAATAAAAGTGGTAAAATACGTCCAAGATAACAGAATTAGAATAAACAGATTTTATAATGGCGTCCGAATCAACCAAAGATGTGACATGCTTCAAAAACACTTTGCGAAAGGAACGGCCTTTGAACATTCGACTTCACTGATAGACAGACTGGGTGTGCGTGACGTGGTTAATACGGTATCGCATTAGGTTGGCACTGATTATGAAAAGACCAGAGTTTTCCGAGTGGCGGAGCCCCCCGGCCGGCATTGGAATGCCGACCTATGGCCCCGGACAGCCTGCGATTGCGACCGGCATATATAAAGATTATACGCGTAGATATGGCAACGTTAGTAGACAAAAATTGACCTATATTAGATTTCCTTGATTTTTATGTACACTTTTGTTGTTTTATTTTTAATTTTATTACATCCACAACCATTTTATACGCATATCCCTGCTGGGCATAGGGTTTTTCAAGAATACACCAGCTAGCTTGAATTACTTAGATTTGTCCATACTTTCTAAACTGAGAAAGCACGGTGAGTAAAGAACTGAAATTCTCTTATTGATATTCCCTTTCACGATCAGTAAAAGTTTGGAGTAGCATTTTAAGTGGAATTCTGCCCCGTATGCGTTTCTATAATACTCATCCAATTACAATGAAATTATGGTAAGTTGAAGAGTGCACGCTCGCGATTGTTTCTGAGAAGGAAAGAATATTCGTTTTTTTTTTCTTCGGGTCAAAGTTAACTTTTAATAGGTATGAAATGAAGTAACCCAGGAGTATATACCTAGTCACTATATTTTATGTGTAAAGAACTGTACCTAATAAATGTTTTCCGTGTGGCGACGGCATCGGAAAATCCCTAATCCTATACTTAATATATAGCTATAAAAAAGTTATCACGTCTTCCGATAGATGGCGGTATAATAAAAAATCGGATAAAGATGTAAAGTATTCAGACCGGCTGTAGGCAGCAGAATCAAAATGCAGGACAATCTAAACTGGCTTACAGTTTTTCATCAGACTGTAAATCATGCTCGGGAGTACTGCAATCTCTAATCAGTCTGCTAGGAGTGTCGATTATTGTAAATCCTTCCTACTTACTATCGGAATATTAAAAATGCAATGCAAATGCTTAAGTGCAGCAGTAGACTATTAGATAGGTATTATATTTCGATACTCGAAAAATCCACAAAATTCAATTTTATTTCCGATTCTTCTATTTTTGGAACTGGAGTATACCAGTTCAACAAGTAAGTTCAGTTTTACAATAGCAACTATGGAGTTTAGAAGTAAGGAGTACAGACTGTGTATTAAAAAGTGTCCATGGAAAACCGTTAAATAAGGGTAGCGTCACTATAACTACGGGGTAAATTTTAATTAACGCACCGAAAAATATTAGTGGGATAGAGGACTTTTTCGAGGTTATATTTACTAAATAAAATTATTTTAGATTTTAGAGCTACTGAGCAGTTTAGTAGCACACTTGAACTGTCGACAGCTGCTAAGTTCATTTCATCCCAGTAGCTACTGCAGCGCTGTTGTGGAGAGTTTTTGAACTGTTATTTACTGCTTACAGATGGCCACTTTTTCAAATATTCTACTATGGGAGCTGCTACTCCTGGTACTTCTACACTCCATAATAGCAACGTTCTGAATT